GGAGAAGAGAAGAGAGAGGAGGAAGAAGGGGGGTAAAGGAAAAGGAGAGGAAAAATAAGTAGGAAAGAAAAAGTTTTTAAAAATATAGGTCTTTTTTTGGAACTGTCAGGCAGCAAGGAAACATTTAGACAAGTGAAATAATTTGTTCTTTGATTCTGAATTTAAAAATTTTGTTCACCTTTGTACACCACCATATAAAATATTTTTTATTTTTGAAAGCTTTTATATAGGAAGATTCTTTTTTTTCCTCCGTAGGACACAAGACAATTGGTACTCTTCAGATTTTTTTCTAAGTTTGTTTCGTTTGCGGTAATGGTGACTTCTTGTGTGACTTTACTTAGATTTGGTCACAACTTTAAATCGTATTTTTCAGAAATTTTTTCGCTCGCTTCGCTCGCGACGGCTTCTATAATTTCCCTTTTCACTAAGGTTGTGGTCCCAATTTTAAAACATGGTTTCAAATTTTTTTTTTCGCTCGCTTCGCTCGCGACTGATTCTTTTAACTGACTTTGGAGCATCAGGAGCATTTTACAAGTGTCCTTCATCATTTTGGAAAATAGGTGTTTGCTCTTTCAAAATTGGCAGTTTTTTTATTAACTTCCCCCTGTGAGTTAGGCAACCAACACGACACATTCAGAAAAATGCCCCCCCTATAACCTTTCGCTGGATCCGCGCCTGCAGCCTCCCCAGCTTGTGCCCATCCCACCGCTCATGCCCCTGATGGTGACCGTCGTGACCCCCCAAGAGTCGCCATCGTCGTCGAGTTTGTTGTCACCGACCTCGTCTGATATATCGTCGGTATCTGCTGCGTCCGCCACGTCTTCTGCTTCGTCAACACCTGCCAAGCCTAAGGGACGTGTGCCGAAATCAGGGATAACTTCACAGCAAGCATTTGAGAGATTGGCCGCGGGTACGTACAAGCTCAAGGACCCCCCCACTTCTTGGCCGGCCGACTGCTGGAAAAGTTTCCGTCTGGTCGTTGATGCTAATACCGACGCGGACACCAAGAACGTCCAGTGCCAGCGCTGCTTCAAGTGCATGGCGTTCAATGAGGGTGACAGCGGAAACTCAAGCCTGACAAAACACCTGAACCAGAGCTGTCGTGTGCGCTTGCCCTCCTCCGACCCTGCACGCCGTGTCATCGTTCCCAAGCGCATAAAGGATGTCTTGGTGGACAAGTTGGCCGAAAAATGTGCGCGCGACCTGTCCTCACTGAACAGCACGGTCGGGGTGGGCATGACCGGTGTTGTGCAGGCCGCGCTCGACATCGGCAGTGCGTGCCCGGGGGCGCAGGCCGTGGACATTATGCCGAGTGCCAGCACCGTGCGCCAGCGCCTCTGTGACCTCACCGACGCTGCTAGGGCCCAAGTGGTGGTGAAAATGCGTGCGGCCATTCAAGACAAGAGGTGCTCCGCCACCACCGATATGTGGACAGACAAGTATAGGAATTTCCATTATATCGGTGTGACGTCCCACTTCTTCAATGAGAACTTTGAGCAGGAGTCGTGGGGGCTTTGCACGCCTAAGTTCCCTTGCTCGAGTAGGACCACTGGAGAGAACATTCGCGAGGCCCTAGTCCGGGAGATGACTGCACTAGGCCTCACGGAGGACGAGTTTGAGCAGATTGAGTGGGTGACGGACCAGGGGGCCAATGTTGTGAAGGCGTTGGAGGGAATGGAGCGGGAAGACTGCATGGCCCACTGCATCAACACGGTCCTGAAGACATCACTCACTCTTTCTTACGTCGAGCTGAGAGAAAAAGTGACTGCCTCAAACACAGATATTGAAGAAGTGCTAGAAAAATTTGCGGAAGCCGCCAAGCTAGTCAGGAGTTGTCGGGAAACAAAAACAAGAAAAGTCGGGCAAGGAGTCGTCTTGAAAACCCTGCAAAAATCCATCCAGCTGGCTAAGAAAAACACCTTTATGTATAGTGCTACGATTTCTTCTCTTCTCGTTCACCGGAAAAAGGTGAGTGGCTAATTGCTAATTGTACCTTTGAAATGTTTGCGTGATTGCGGCCCTCAATTTTTTGCACTTGTCCATATATTCCCACTTTCACCGTTCTGCGACGTGGTACCCCCCCC